TAAATGGTCAAAGCAACACCGCAAACACAGGAGGAGCGCCTTTAGAAGGATGCAAAGAACTATTATAAAATCTTTTAGAGCTGCTTGAATTCAACTCACTTTATTTTCCTTTTTTTTTTAAATAAAAGTATAGCCTATTTAATTTGTGATTTTTATTAGTCGTGTAGGATATGCTGTAACTGATATCATGTGCATTACAAGTTTAAGAGTGTGTGTGTGTGTGTGTGTGTGTGTGTGTGTAATGGTGAGTCAGCCGAGTAAGGATCCATCTGCAGTTTATTAACAACAGATTTACATAATACTTGTACTAAGCAGCCGTATGGGTGAGACAAGAGCATAAACAAGAACAGGCAGTGATCGGGGCAAGCAGCAGAGGATCACAATCCAAATAACAGGCAGAGGTCAGGGCAGGCGGCAGAGAATCAAAAAACAATAAACAATCCAAGTAATATACGGGTAAGCAGTCCACAATAAAGAAAACGCTCAGAAATGATCACCACAGCAAATCAAGACATTGCAATGTGTGTGTAGTGTGCTTATATGAGGTGTGTGTAATGATTAGCAGGTGTGTGTGCAATCAGTTCCAGGTATGTGGGCTTCTGGGAAATGGAGTCTGAATAATAAACAGTCAATATTCTGGTGAATGTTCCCTCTGATGGTGCGGAGGAGGCAGTACGGGAGCCTTATTTGTGACGGTGCGTGGTTTCCACAAAGAAATTTAGAAAATACAAAAGATTACAACACTGTAGAACATCACTGAATTAAAATAGCCTACACACTTTACATAATAAATCACATTTCTTATCAATATCCATTTAGCGATTAACAATAAAGATTAAAAATAAGGACAAAGATACACATTACAAATAAGTCGTTAAAGCGCGTCCTAAACACAAAACCCCCACTTATTAACTAACAATAATAGGCTATTTCAAAGATGCACAAATGCAGATATAGGTGCAAATAGAATACTCTACAGTGACATCAACCTTGGTTTTAATCATAGACTGTATAAGCAGTTAGTTTATCACACAGAACGTTTTTGCTGTGGTGAAACTGTGATGAGTCATGCATCTAGCAAGAGCTAAAGGATAGGCTACACAAAATAATAATATTGATTCAAGTATTTAACATTTATTAATTAATTAAATGTCAGTTATGAACAATACTGCACAAATTATAGCGATCACGAAGAAGGTCCTTATTCTGTCCCAAACGCATACAGTAAAGTGGATATACAGTATACAACACCCCATCAGTTATATTCAGGTCTATACTGCCACCTGTTGGTGTAGTTGTGTAACTTAGAGAACAACTTTTGTTATGTCGAGATCACGAGAAAATTAAGTCGTGATAACGAGAAAATAACACTCATTATGTCGAGATCACGAGAAAATAAAGTCATGATAACGAGAAAACAACTTTTGTTATGCCGAGAACATGAGTAAATAAAGTCGTGATAACGAGAAAACAACTTTCGTTATGTCGAGATCTAATTAAGATTTAATTATCTTGTGATCACAAGAAAACAAGAAAGAAAAATATTAATAATCCATGGCCTCTTAGGACTTTCGTAGTAATGCAATCTTATTTTTAAAAATATTGTTCAATCAGTCAGTCAAGCGTCACCAACTAAGCAAGACAAAGGCGACAGCGGCAAGGAACCAAAACTCCATCGGTGACAGAAATGGAGAAAAAACCTTAGGAGAAACCAGGCTCAGTCGGAGGGCCAGTTCTCCTCTGGCCAGACAAAACCAGCATGGTGTGGTTTAATTTCAGGCTGCAACACAGGTGCAGAGGTCTTGTCTGGTTCCCGTGGTCTTGTGCCGATGGTCGTCGAGGTGAAGAGGTCTTCGCAGGGGATCTGTCTCTGGGGCGCATCTAGTTGACATGGTCTCCGCTGGCATTCAGGGCTGTAGAGGTCATCTCTAGGTGCTGATCCACCATCTGGTCTGGATATGGACTGGATCTGGGTGGCTACAGTGACCATCTGATCTGGATACAGACTGGATCTGTATGGCTATGGTCACCTCAGAATAAGAATGAAAGAGACTGATATTAGCATAGATGCCATTCTTCTTCCAATGTAGCGGGTACATCGGGTGTTATGGGAAATGTTCCCGGTTCTGGTTGACCTATTTGGTCTGGTTGACCTAGTGTGTCTGCCTCCCGAACAATGTAAGGTAGATTGTTCCAGAGTTTGGGCGCTAAATAGGAAAAGAATCTGCCACCCACAGTTGATTTTGATTTTGATATTGTAGGTATTATCAAATGGCAAGAGTTTTGAGATTGCAGCGGACTTGAAGGACTATAATGTGGTATGAGCTCGCTCAAGTATTGAAGAGCTAAACCATTCAGGGCTTTATAAGTAACTAGCAAAATTTTAAAATGCATTCGTTGTTCAATAGGGAGCCAGTGCAGAGTTGGAGTTTATTTATTAAGCGTGCAGAGCAACCACCAGTGGTGTATTGTAACGAAGTAATAATACTTCGTTACAGTACTTAAGTATTTTTTGGGAGTATCTGTACTTTACTTGAGTTTTTATATTTCAGCCAACTTTTACTTTTACTCCACTACATTTCCTAATTAAAATGTATACTTTTACTCCAATACATTTCCCCGAAGCATATTCGTTACTTACTACAAAATAGTCAGAAGTCAGAAGAACACGGACTGCAGGAAAGCAGATTTGATGAATCAGTGGTCTGCGGTCTGCAAGTTAGACTCCTAAAAACACCTTTGCTCACATGCAAACAAGTGCGCACAACCATGGATGATTAATTTTCCACTCAAGTCGAGTCTGGGGTGTGTTGTGCGATACAGCATCGTCTGCGATAATGTGGTAAGGGTTGTTGTAATGATGTGCGATCTGACATTATCAAGTAGGCTATATCAGCAAATCACACACGCACGTGATTTATTAGTCTATTAAAACTCAAAATTCAAGGCATTCTAAATTATAGATGGCAAAAAAATGCTTCTGTATACGTTTTATATTTATATAATTCAATATAGTTAACTTAATCTATATCACACAAAGAGTACCGTTTTTCTACAGATTTCAGCATGAACACATTTAATAATAATTTTATACAAGTTCAGTAAAGCAATAAGTGACTTACATTTTAGACATAATATTGCCTGTTTTTACTCAATTTTGCTAACGAAAATAGTTCCAAACAAAGATCACAGCACTGTTGCTTATTGTTTTCTTTTTGTATTGTATTGTATTCAATGGTGTTTACTTATTGAATGAATCAGCTTTTTGAACGAATCGGTTGAATAAATTATTCAGTGATTCACTCATTGACACAGTCAAATGCTTTGTTTCTGAATGAATCAGCCGTTTGAATGAATCGACTGAATCTCAATGACTCACTCATTAACAGTCACTTGCTATCACCTACTGGCGGTTTTAATTTCACATTTCGACTGTTTTTTTAATGTTTTAAATTATTTCAAATATCATTATTCAACGATTTATGTTAAAACCAAAACATTAGGCCTATTTATGCATCTGTAACTGCAGTTTAAATGCATCCATGTCCCCTCTGTGATACATAAACTGTGTAAATACATCTAAATGCTATGTCAGATGCAGATTCCAGAAATGTTTTCTTATGTTGGAATGAAAGACACTAAGTACCGGATGAAGTGCTTCTTATTCTTACCCAAAAATACAAAATGGAACAAAGAGTTCAAACTGAACACAATCTTGCTACTTAAGCTGTGTATGAAAATTTTTTATATATATGTATTTGCTTCTTTTCCATTTTGTATTTACTTGTACTTTTACTTTCAATACTTAAGTATGTTTACGATAAAACAAAATACTTTTCGTACTTAAGTACAATAAATATCACATACTTTAAGACTTTTACTCAAGTAATATTCTAAACGGTGACTTCTAGTAAGATTTCTAGTAAGATATCTGTACTTTAACTTGAGTGTGGCTTTCAGGTACTTTATACACCACTGGCAACCACCCAATAAAGCATTAAAATAATCTAACCTCGAGGTCATGAACACATGAATTAACGTTTCTGCATTTGACATTGAGAGCATAGATCATAATTTAGCTATATTTTTAAGATGGAAAAATGTGGTTTTAAAAATGCTAGAAACATGGCTTTCAAAGGAAATCTTGCTATCAAATAGCACACCTAGATTCCTAACTGATGATGAAGAATTAACAGAGTAGCCGTCAAGTGTAAGACAGTGTTTTAGGTTATTACATGCAGGTTTTTTTTTTAGAATTTAGCAGTAGGAAATGACTAGTCATCCAGTTTTTTATATCAACTATGCATTCTATTAGTTTTGTGAATTTGTATGTTTCATCAGGCCACGAAGAAATATAGAGCTGAGTATCATCAGCATAACAGTGAAAGCTAACATGTTTCGTGATGATATCTCTCAAGGATAACATGTAAAGTGTGAAAAGCAATGGTCCTAGTACTGAGCCTTGTGGCACTCCATACTGTTCTTGTGATAAATATGTCTTGTCATTCACTGCTACGAATTTATGGCGGTCAGATAAGTAAGATTTGAAACATGACCATGCAATTCCACTAATGCCAACATAATTTTGTAGTCTACTCAAAAGAATGTTGTGGCCGATAGTGTCAAATGCAGCGCTAAGATCCAGTACCACCAATAGAGAAATATTTTTTAGTAAAAACATAGTAAAAGTTTTCAAGAGAGCTCCACATGTAATACTTATATCATATGCAAGATACTTAACGGGACTGTTCTAATCCATTCCTTTATAAAAAGGGATGATGTAGAACATTTAATCACAAATCCAAGCGTTTTAGCCATCCAGAGTCAGACAAGCTTTCTAGTCCTGTAAGCCATGCGTTATTGTTATCCAAATGACATTTGTTTATGTAAGTGGCAAATAAAATCCCTCACGCAGACAGAGAGTCTCGAGTGTCTGGACTAATAACCCTCCTAATGTCTTGCTCCTGAATAACAAGCCATTCATGTGTTCCTGTGTCCAGCGTCTATGTCTGCTGTGCCGCCCTGTGCAGGACTCCACGCTGACAGATGAGCAACTTTACACTGGTACGTGTTTGACCTTTGATCTTGGCACAAAGAAGCCCAAAGATCCATTAAGAACATGGTGTAATTGAGTGAAACTGAACAGATCTGATCTAAAGAGTCCAGCGTTTGCTCTGATATGAGACTGTAGTGGAATGTTGAAGACTCAAAGGTAAAATAAACTCTTTGTTTGTTGTCAGAAGCTTAATAAAAAGCAATTAAAGCTTATCTCCCATGTTAATCTAAGTGTATACTATGTGTTCTTTGTATATATATCCTCTAAATGCATGAAATATCTGGATGACCTACTACTTTTGCATCAGTCAATACACTTGACCTTCCATTTTCAGTGCAAATGAACCAATGAACAACTTTTTTCTTGACTCAGTCTACAATAGAACATATTTTTAAACTAGCACAGATTCAGAAATGGTTTTATTTTTGTCCTTAAGTTAAAAAAAATCTATTGTTTTGTTATGCACACTAAGCTGTACACTAGTAGTACAAATGTGGTCTATAGGTTAGTTCTCTCCTGGAAACTGTGTTTGTTCATTCATTGCAAATGGTTCTGCTGTGCTGTTGCTTTCAGTTTCACATCACATATTACTGATGCTGGAAACTTGTCATGCCTGGTTATGATATGCTAGTCAGAGTTAGTCAGCTCAGGATGTGTTCATGAAACATCAGATCTTTACTGGCATGATGACTCTTGAGTGTTTGCTCATACTGTAATGGGATGTGTGAAAATAGAACAACATTTCTCAAATAATCAGATTAATATGATCTAATGGATTTCATTATGATATTATTTTCATGATAATGAAGCATGTTCCTCCATAATCTGAATGCAAAATAATCCTCATTCTCTTTCTTTAATGCATTCACTTTATGTTTCTGGTCATTCTAGTTTTGGCAACTCGTTTTGTTTTTTTGTTGTTTTTTTGGTAACTCTCTGTTGTTTTTCTTTTTTCTTTTGTTTGGTAATTCAAGTTAGAAGTCTTAAGTCTTAATGCTCCTAAACACATAATCAAGCAAATTAACATACAGGTTTTTTTTCTCCTGTGATTTTGTGATGAAATACCACCTATATGTGCTCTTGACAGGTTTTCAGAAACTAGAGGCTAAATTATTTAATATAATTTAAATGCAGCAGATATAGGTACATCATGTTAATTGTTTATCTATTTATAAGCGTTTTTTGATGTTTATGCATTTTATGCATATGGAATATAACTAATATTTTTCATGATCTGTCACATAATAAATACAATAATGCAGTAGAAGTCTATTACTGTATTCTCAATTATAGTCACAAGACCTCAGTGTCACATCTAAAGTGAACAGATGACAGAATCAGATGAACCCTGAAAACAGACACCAAATTGACAGATACTGGATTTCAATGTATTTGATTTCTGTTTTTTACAGACACTGTCAGTAATCATTTGTCTTTTAATGTGATGCAAAAGGACTCATTTGTTTGTAGAGCATGTAAATATACTTTAAACCTCTGCGGTTTTCTATTATGAATGAGGCATGCTGGGACAGAACATAACAGATGCCTCTTAGCACTCTTGTTTTATAAATGGATTAATTTAGTGCTGTTGGCTCTCTGTCTGTGTGTGTGTGTGTGTGTGGGTGTGTGTATTCGCACAGACGCTCAATATGCATGCCGTCTGCGCACGTGTCCATGCACGCATGTCCATATGCACGTTTTGATAGTGTGTGCTCTAATTTTAGAGTGCATTGGATGGTCTGTGTGTGTGTCCATATGGTTGTGTGGAGTGTTATTGTGTTCAGTGGATGAAGATTATATCTGATGCTGTAATATGCCTGTGTTTGATACAGTACAGTACAGCAGCAGTACATCTCCTGCAACAGCCATTGCACATTGGACTGACAGTGCCAAAGCATGAAAGCATGTTTGTTTATATGTGTGTTTGTCCGCCTCTGTTTATCTACAGTGTCTGGAGCCATTTATGTAAATGCCATAATTTTTATATGATGATATATATAAATTTAGGCCTATTAAATGTAAAAAATGATGGCAGAAATCTTACTGAAATGTAGAATGGCTATATATTTTTAAAAGAAAAGAAAAACAAAAAAGGCATTATTATTAGTGATACTGGCCTTCATTCATATTACTTAGTAAAAAGATGCCATTAAACAAATATTTAAAATGTACTCTCTTTATGTAGTTTTTACGTTCATTTGGAGATTCAGTGTGAAAATATATTTATGATTACAAATTTTAATGTTAGGTGCAATTATGCATTCAGTTGTGATTTATTACAGAAAAATCCAATTACTTCAATTACTACAATCGATTTTTTTAATCGATTGACAGCACTAATATAATTATATACATTTATTGTGTGTGTACATAGTCTATGGCCATTTATGTAAATGCTATAATTTTGTGTGTGTGTGTGTATATATATATATATATATATATACACACACATCCATGACAAAAACTTGCAGCTAGCAACTAATTAATGTGTAAACTCTCTCATTCCAACAACCCAGATAAAACCAATAAAATTTAGGGTCATGCAAAATCATCAAAACGTCAGACAGAAGAAACTTCACTTCTACACCACTTCTTCAGTTTCGCTATGATTTATTTTGTGGATGCATTAAAGAAAGATACCTAGGCATGTTCTCAGCCTTTGTAAACAAATCTGCCTGTTTTCACAGGAAAGCTTGTGAGTAAAGCATCTTGCTCATTTTAATCTTGTGCATTTGTTGGAAGGTTAAAACTCGAGCCAAAGTTGAGCTGTGGGTTACAGCAATACCTCTAAAGATCCCAAAGCATTCATCACCCAAAACATACACTGGCCCACGCCGACCAGCCTGCGGTTTCTCACATCGCTCTGACCTGAGCAAACATCCGCCAACCTCCATGAGACTCTGCGATCACAAGATTTCTCACAAACCACTGACAGATAGGTGAGAGATGAGAGGTGCCTCTTCACGGCCGGATCATAACCACCATGTTTTGACCACAGGAAAAACAACAGGCCTGATTGCAAAGTGTCTGACATGATTCCAGAATTTCACAAGAAAATCAATATTGACTCTATTTACTTTAATTCATGTTCCTGCTCTTATTGTGAGTGATTCAGCTGTGACGTTAAAAAGAAAAACATGTTTGTTTTCAGAATCTTTCATCAAAATAACTTGCTCCACCTCTGAAATGTGTTATTTTTTAGTTGATGTCATGTAGGCCATTGTGAGTTGTTGGTTAAAGTTAACTGGTGGTCCAATATTTAATTAAAGTCCTGCCCATTTATTTCCCGTGAATATACTATTTCACTGGGAAATATGTCACATTGTGTAAGTAAAATTGTTTGTGAATGCAGTTTCAATGTTGTTTTAGAGGTGAAAGTTATTACCTTTTGATGAAAGATTATTTAAATTTATGTAGGGCCGTAGCTAGGGTTTGAGGGGCCCTGGTGCAAGTTGTTGAAATTGTGTAAATATCACAAATTAAATAAATAGAACAAAGTTGCAAATTACACAATGTTTAAGTTTTTTCAAATTTGTAGGTGTTCAAGTACAAAAACAGAATAATCAAATATAAAATATCAATATCAAATATCAGTCTTCACTGTATAAATTAAATATAGAATAATTCTTGTCAAAACTACAATGTAATTTAGTTAAGAGCAGTGAGTGATTTTCTCTCTTTTACTTTCTTGAATTAACAGCTAGTAAATTAAGCGCGGTCATTTTAAGAGACAATGCATCCAATATAATGATACACATCCGATATGATACAATGATACATAACCAACAGTTTTTTGAAGATCCTTGCCAAGACAGGTATTTCGACATAATTTTTTATGTATTTGCCCTTTCAAGCGCAAGAAGAGGCAAAACTCAATTCGGTCTTCGCGGGCTATGAGACGCGGCTCTATGTGTGCGCGCGGGTGCTGAATTAAGCTTTTTCACATCTTTTTGTGCTTGAATGTTTAAATTGGCGAGATGTATTTGTTCGTTCGAATGCAAAAAAAAATACAAAGGAGACTCCTTTGGTGTTCGTGCATCTGAGACGCAGCTCTCTGTGTGCGTACCGAACTCAGTTCATTCGCGTCTTCTTGTGCTTGAATGCTTTACAATCTCTTGAATGTTTAAATTGAAAAGTCTTAAAAACACGTGCAAATGAAAAGCTTTTGTGACGATGCGCAGCAGTGGCCCATAGGGTTGGGTATCGATTAGGTTTTTTTACGATACCGGTGCCAAATCGATACTTTTAAAACAGTACCGGTGCCTGAGCCGATACTTTAAAAAAAAAAGAGCCACAAAAAAAGAAAGATAGATAACATTAAAGTACGTTACAAATATTTAAAATAAATATACATAGCATTCACATGCTCCTCGGATACTCTCATTTCCCGAGTTTTGCTTCCCTTACTCTAAGGCTAATAAATGTATTTCATGATCTGGGTCATTATTTAATACAAAACAATATTTAATACAAAACCACACATAATGTTTCTACTGTATCTCTGTCAATCACTGTGATATTTAGTTATAATGAGTGAATTGACTGAGTGCTGTCTATCACTGCCTTTAATCAGTTCTGTGAATGACTGTATGGTATGCCACATGCACTGTAATATGTTTTATATAAAATTTTCAAATGAAAATAGCGATATGATCGTTTTATAAAGTATGCGTTCATATGTGTTAAGGGCTAGATTTTCGCTGGAGGAAACAGCTGTGGTGTGATGAGGGGTGAACGCAGCGAAAACTTTACAATAGATAGGAAACCGATTGCTCCCTCGTGACCTTTTGTAAACTGTATTTATGACAAAGAACTGCACAGATACAGATATTATAACACTCTATCGATAAACACACCTTGTGTCCTCTGTTTCTGTTTGAGTCCGTTCGCGCTGCGCCGCCACGGTCTGCGGATTGAAGAGAGCGCTGAAAGACGGGGAGGAGATGAAATCTGTCGCCGTTTTCATATGAAATTTAAAGGGGACTGACTCTGAGGTGATCACGAATTTGTGTACAGTTTATGGAGCTAATCGCTATAGGCCCGCTAAAAATGGCCTAGCGACACCCATGCTTCTTATTTCCATTTCGGAGAACCAGGACAAATATTTCAATCAACACTCAAGCATTTAAGTGGCACTGAAATGAGGCACCAAAATCTGCATTCTGATTCGGTTCTAGTACATACCGGTTACATACCGGGTTTCGGTACCCAAACCTATTGGCCCATCAGCTGAGTATCTTTCATGCTGGCCTCGGGCAGTCGGTTGAAATCGCCGGGGGCCCCTATAATTGTCACCACCTTTCACCCCTCTAGCGACAGCCCTGCATTTATGCAATAAACAGATGCTTTTATCCAAAGTGACTTACAAATATGTTTTTCTTTATAATAACATCACTGATGAATAATTCACGATAAGACAAGAGTCTGATAACAAGGAATTATATGCATCTAAAATAATTTCAATAAATAAATAAACTGAAAAAATACTTTAAAAAACAAAAATTTCTAGTAAATTTCATAAATAATTACAAAGAAACGCAAGTAACATTTAATTAAATGTGAAATTCTGTTGAAGTAGAAAAACTGAAATAGTATTTCCTTTACTCCAATATTTATTCACAACTTTGAAAATCCTTTTTTACAGTGTACTAAAGTGCATTAATATATGAATTCCCAGATGTGAGCTGAACATCTACTGTAAGTCATTCATATGGTAACTAAAGCTGAGTGTAACTGTTGATTATCGCTGTGGGGTTTTGAGCTCATAATGCGGGATGAGCGTGAGGAGGTGGGCTTCACCATCACTATGAATGGATGCGTGATAGTACACAGTGTTCTCTTGTGAACTCCCACACATTCATATAGAAATGCAGCAGAACACCGTATGTGGAGGAACAGGGTGTCATACACGTGCTCGTGGGCTTCAACCATATGTATTGGCCTGAATGAAAATGGAATAGTTCAAATGATTAGTTTATCATGAAAAATGATTCTCACATTGTTGGTATCCATGTAAAAGATGCACTTAAAAATCCATTTAATGTGCATTCAATTATGTTGTGTCAAGATGCATTAAACAATTATATCAAATTACATTTTCGGATTTTCAGAAAATAATTACTTAAATTTGGGTTTGATTCTCAAACAAACCTGTCACTTCAGAAGACTTGAAATGTAGAGCAGAAGTCATACTGTTATGATGCTTTTTTGTCCTGTTCAAAGCCCGAAAGCATCCTTCCTCATTCACTTTCATTACACTAAAATTTGTAATAATTTAGATTTTTTTTTTTTTATGTTTTTAAAGAAGCCTTTTCGGTAACACTTTACTTGAAGGGGTGTGCATAAGACTGACATGACACCTTCATAATCATGACATGACACATGTCATGAATATGAAGGAGGTTTTATGCATGTTTATGACAACTGTCATTAAGTGTCATTCGCTCAGTTATGTCATTTTTAATGCAAATATGACATTATTTGACCTTAACCTAACCTAACCCTACCCCTACCCTTACCCCTAACCATAGCCCATAACAAATACATCTCAAACAATGTCATCTTTGCATTAAAAATTACATAACTGAGCGAATGACACTTACTGACAGTTGTCATAAACATGCATAAAAAACCTTCATATTCATGACATGTGTCATGTCTTGATTATGTAGGTGTCATGTCATGATTATGAAGGTGTCATGTCAGTCTTATGCACACCCCTTCAAGTAAAGTGTAACCGCCTTGGTTGCTCACCAAGGCTGCATTTATTTGATCAAAAATACAGTACAATTATAAATATTGTGAAATATTATTACAGTTTAACTGTTTTCCATGTGAATTTATAGTCGAATGTAATTTATTCCTGTGATGCACAGCTGAAGTGTCACATCCTTCTAATAATAATAAATCATTCTAATATGCTGATTTGCTGCTCAAGAACCATTTCTGATTATTATCAATTTTGAAAACAGCTGTGCTGCTTCATATTTTTGTGGAAACTGTGATACATTTTATTTTTATAGGATTCTTTGATAAATAGAATGTTTAAAATAACAGCATTTATTTGAAATAGAAATCTTTTGTAATGACATTAAAAAAAAAAATTTTTAGAAGTGTCTTTATTGTCACTTTTGATCAATTTAATGCATCCTTGCTGAATGAAAGCATTATTTTCTTACATTGCCCAACAATTTGAAAGATAATCACGGTTTTCACACACACACACACACACACACACACACAAATATATATAATAATAATTAGTTTGATTAATCTCTAAAACTATTGGTAAATTAATCCCTGTTTGCACTAAAATTTGTATTTTTGGTCTTCTTCCACCTGCCTTATCTTTGAAAACAGAAGTTTGTAAACCTGTGTCTACTGCATGCAAAACGTGTCATTGTCATTCACTGGAAAAGTATTCATGGTCCATCTCTGCCACTCTGGATGAAAGAATTGTCGTCTTGTGTGGATGGAGAAAAAAAGCACATATTTTACGAGATCTGGGACTTTCTTCACTTTCTAGAACAGAATGGACTGACTCTTGAATAATAGCACATAATCTGATCATGCGTTTAATGACAGTTGACTGTGTTAAGTGAATTGTGTTTGTCATTCCTTATTCTTCTTATTGTTAAAAAAACATTAAAAATCTTATTTTAAATAAGATTATGTATATGTTAAAGACATTTTCCATTTATACGGCTTATTGCATTAATGCATTCAAGCATTGTTAGCACCATGCTTTACTATTTGAGCTACAGTACTGGTAGAAGGGAGCATGAACATCCTCCAAAACATCTCCTTTTTTATTGCACATATAAAAGAGTCATACAAGTTTGAAATAATATGACGGTGATGAAATGATGTTAGAACTGA